TGGAGAATCCGAGAGACAGAAGTGATTTTTCTACTTGGTTACCTACAAGGAGATGTATTGATTTCTATTGGTAGTAGTTGTCTCGATGAACAGATGTATACTCTGTCCAGGGGTTCAGAAAACAGAGCTTTTAATTCTTATAGACAATAACATTGTATGAAAGGGAATTTTTGAAAAACTAAATATAAAAAATATTGCACACATCAGTTTTAAATGAATTGATCTTTTGCTTCAGCGAGGGCGGTGTGTTACTTGTTATGGAGTGACTCCTTTTGCCCATGCAAATAAGCACAAAGCTAGGGTATTATCAGGCAAAGGCAAAATTAAGAGGTAGGTCAGATTTAATGGAAACATCTGTCATTAACCCTTTTACAGAAACTGCCTCAGGGAATCCTTGCAGATAAAAGCTATGCTGAGCCTTCTTACCTTGCTTTGCAGCTCCACAAAGGGGATGGCAATCACAAGGAACAATTCTGTTCAGACTATCTATACTAAAGAGGGGCATATTTTGGATTAGGGCACAAAACAAAGGCCTTTTTTCTTTTTTTTTTTTTAGTTTGCAAAAATTGTACAGTATAGAACAGTTAACATTGCTGTTAATTTCTAGATTTTGTATCAGCAGACTTATCCTATCACTGATACACTATAAAGGTGCTACCTTCACATAAGTACTTAAATCAGAAACAAATTGTTTACATGCTATATTTGGAAAAGGTAGAAAATACAAAATTTGAAAAAAGAGTTATGTTTATACTTTTGTATGGTGATGCATTTTCCCCTGTGTTGTACGGTGATAATTTTAATAATAGTTAATTTTGTTAATTGAAGAGAATTAGGAAAGTTTGTAGTCATTTGGATACTGTTTATATTTGTTAATTTAGATTATCCTTTATTACTAATAAAACATGTATGAGTAACTTTGAATTTCCAATAAAACTTAAAGAACAACTTAAAAGATTACAAGTCATGCAATAGAGGGAAGAAAAAAAATCCTGAAAATTTGCACAGGGGCAAAAATACTAAAGCGGTATTTTTCATGCTTTAGTTTTATTTATTGACAATATAATAACCTTCATAATTATTTTGCCCCTCTTTTTTATTATTTTTTTTAACATTTGCCTTTCATTATACTATTTTATTAACTTTTTCTATGATTTTTTTTTTTTTTGTACTGGGGATCAAACTCAGGACCTTGGGCTTGATAGCAGGCCCTGTGCCACTGAGCTGCATCCTTCGGCCCTCTTCTGTGATTTTTTTTTTCTTTGCTTTTTTTCCTTTTTCCTCTTTTTTCTTTTTTTGTTTTTACACCATCCTGATGCCACTGTAGCCAAGTTTTCCTCTTAGCTTTTTAAAAATAAGGTTCACAGATTAAAATGAACTTTTTTTTGACTGCATCTCCCTCTAATGAAGGACACAAGTTTATATAACTAAAAAAACCTTGAAACATGAACACAGAATCAATTTTCATTGTGTTTTTTTTTTACTTTTGATACAGTGCCTAACCTTCTTTTGAGGTGAGGCCCACAGAGGTTTTTATAAAGCAGAACAATGATAAGCCATTTTAATTCCCAACTGACCTCCCCAATCCACAGGATGGAACTTGTTTTAGTTTCTTTTCTTGTTGCCGAGACAAAATACCCAATGCCTAAAGTTAAAGGAGGAAAGGTTTATTGTAGCTCACAATCTGTAGAGGCTTCAGTCCATAGTTGGCTGGCTCCAAGGCAGGTGACACGTGGCAGAGGAGAAACAGTTCATGGTGGGCAGAAGGAAGAAGGCAGCAAGCAGCTAAGTAGTGAAGCACCAAGGGTTGGCAGCAGTCTTCATTCTGTCTTTGATATTTTATCAAGGCTACATGCCATTAGGTCAGGGTGGGCCTTCCCATTATCCACACCCAGAACTATGCCAAACCAATCAGTGGATTAATTTAATAATCACACCTTGGTCCCAGCATAACAGACTTAATCCCAGCATCACAGACTCTAGATCCAGCCACCTTTGAAAAGCTCCACTTATGATGATATGAGGCTTTGGGAGAACATCTAGACACAAGCCATACCAGCACTGAATTGAATTATTCTCAGTATTACTGTTAAAAGCTTAAAACAATGTGTGGGAGACTTTAGAGAAGCTATGAATATTGATTTGTCTTTTAAAAATACAATATTAATTTTTAAATGTTAAATATTCATATGAGTATAAACCATTTGACCTTAAAGAAAAAGTTCAAATAACCTCAAGTTCCAGCTATATTGACCTAAGAAGGTTTGAAAGTATTTTATTCTGGCTTTATATTGACCAAGAGTTAGCATTTTCCTTTAAAAAATAATTACTCTTTCTGTTGCTTTCTGTAGTTAAGTGTTGGCCCATACAGTGGAATTTTCAGTCTTGAATTGATAACATCTCAAAGGGGGACAAATTTATTCACACTGGCCACTTAAAAACATGTATTTCAACATTATGCACAGTGAGGCACATAATTGGTATGTGTATTTTTAATGACAAATGGTTTCAGTGATAGGTCACACACTAGTACTTGAATTCAGTGTTTAACTCTACTAGATAAAGGACAGCATGGCATAAGATTGTTCAAAAAAAGATATAGCATATATGACCCTAGACCAGATTAAAGATCCAGAATATCTCATGCCTTCCCTCCTCTGAAATAATAATGCTGTTGGCTCTTGGTCCCAGAAGCCAGTCTGACCTGCTTAGTTAATTGGGAAGTAATGCTGACTCCATGGAGTGCCAACTACCTTCAAACAGCTCACAGGAACATGACATTTACCAATACAGTTTTATTCCATTAAACAATCTCTTAGATGTCCTTGTATCTTTTCTTGTTCCAATGTTTATACTATTCTTTGCATGTAATTGTTCAACAAGTTATTTGGGGGAATGTTAACATTTGCTGAAAGCATCTATTTATTTTGAGAGAGATCATACTTTTTCATTGTTATCAGGCTTTTGATAATTAAATGCTTACAGCAAGACCTTTTAGTCAACAAACATCTGGTTCCTGGTTCACAGGGTGAAAACATTGAAAGGAGAGGATATACTACTTAAGGTGGTAAAGGTTTATCCTTGATCTTTTGATCTTTGTTGTTATATAGAGAGATATGAAGTCCCCTTTCTGATTTTTAATTTGGAGCAAGACATTGACATTTCTTTGCCCTATCCTGTGGACTGTTGATCTGTAGCTTTAAGAACTTCCTCAGTCAGCCAGATTATTGGAGATTCTAGTGACAGTGTACCAGTTTTTGATAATCAAGTAATGAGTCATCGGCTTTAATCAGTAGGTGTGTCCTTCTTAAGAGAGTTATCTGAAACAGATGAAGCAGCATCCCTGACTGATGGGCTTGCCTGGCCTATATCTAGATTCTCTGGATGAATCATGTTCCTGCTGATGATTTTTACCCCAAACTAAAATAGCACATTGTTATGTCAACATGATGTTCAGAATTGTCTATTGGAATTATCTCTTTATATTTTTAAAATATGTCAATTTATTAAAATGCTTTCTTGAATCTAATCATGGTTTAGAATTCAAACAATATAAAAATGTCTATGACAAAGAATATATCTCTTATTCCCATTTTCCATTTGCAAAATTTCCATCCTTCCCTGCAAATAACAGTTGTAACTAGTAACCTATGAGTTCTCCTAGCCTTATTTTTTTTGCTGGTCCTTTTTAAGAAGTCATAACTCCTCTCACTCTCCTCATTAATACATGGCCATGTTCACTTGACTTTCATAAAGTGTCTTACTATGAAGTGACATTTAACAATGTGCATGTTGAATCTGGGTACTTTTTGCTTGGCTTTGCATTCATCTTTTCACTTATGTTTTGCAGAGAAATTTCGTATTTTCTTTGCTCTAATTCTGGTTGCCAGGATGGCTGAGTGCCATTCCTGGAAGGGGTGTGTGTTAGAGTTGGCACAGACAGAACAACTGGCACAGGAGAAGAAAGCCATTCCTATGTCAAGGAGATTTATCCACTCATTATTTTAAAAATTATTATTGTAATCATCATTGACCATTTGTTGTGTGCGTGAGACCCATGTCTTGGGTTCCATTCTAAACAAAGAAGATATGTGTTTGGTAGTGGCCAGGGAACTCCCAGCCAAGAATGTGAGACTCTGTGTGTGGTTAAAATTATGATTTGGGTAGCTAGATATCAGTGGTAAATACAAAATAGACTAGTACGACTGTTTTCTGTACTCTGAGAAAGGCAGTGGTTTCTTTGGTACTGATGCTATGACCAGTTAGTCAAGGGTAAAAGAAAGCAGGCAACTCTACTACTTTTCTCCCTTTTATATATGTGTCTCTGTAAAATTTTTATTGAAGAAATATTTTGACAGCTTTAAGGAAGTTTGAAACCCACTGCCCTAGAAGAATACATGTGTTAGCTGAAGTTAAAAAAAAAAAAGCTGTGTTCTTTGGTGCCTCATTTTCAATTCCAATAAAGAGTTGCTTCCTTCCAGTTTTCTTGAACAACGACAGTGATTTTGTGGTGCCATGGAAAGAACACAGTCTTCCAAGACAGAGCTCAGCTAGAATCTCAGTTGTACTCTTTCCTTGCTGTAAGGGTTGGTGTGAGGCACTTAGCCACCCTGTGTGTCTTCACTTTTGCAGACAATACTAACACCTGCCTTTTTAAGTTGTTGTGAATTTGTGTCTAGTACAAACCATGCCACATTTTGCCTCTAAATTAATGAAAGTTGATAAGCATATAAAAAATTTGTTGTGTAGTAATAGCAACTCCATGTCAAGTCAACAAAGGGAAAGATACAAGGTGCAACAATTGGATGAAAATAGGTTGTAGCTCTTTGCAAAGCTGAAATAATTTTAGAAAAGTTGACTATAAATTTGTTATTAATTTGCTTAGTAGTTTGGTACAGTAGAGGGAAATCACTAAAGGGATTCTGTAGTTTTATTTTGTAAAGCTCAGGATCTCTTTATAGAGGAAATGCCCATTTTGTATTGTTTGGTTTGAGTGTTTTGAGTTTTTCTTGTGGGAGGAATATGTATCAAATAAGAAGGCATGGGAGCATTGGCGTTGTAAATTACACGAAAGATGAAACACTAAGGGATACAGATATCAGGACACACAGGATGTGAAGAAATTTTACTTACAAATCATATGGTCCCAGGTTTACAGAGGCAGGTAAGGAGAATAGACCTCCAGAACGTGCTCTGAGAGATGGACATCATACTGAGGAATGTGAAGACAACTATGTAATTCTTTCTGATATTTTTGACTATTATTACAAATTTTAAAAAGTAACGTATTTCAAATTAAAACACCAGTACTTTTTATTTGTTTGTATGTTTGTTTGACACAGGGTCTAACTATGTACCTCGGGTTGGCCTTGAACTCACTATGTAGCCCAGGCTGGCCTTGAACCTACAGCAGTCCTCCTGCCTTAGCTTCCTGAGTTTTGGGATTACAGGCATGTGCCAACATCCCCAACTACCAGTATTTTCTTGAAATTGTTATTTTAGGCAGTTCCTGAAAGTTGATCAATGTCATTTATGTATTATGTGGTTGAAATTTATGTATTAAAGGATGACCCAGAAAATAATGTTTCACATCTTATTGGAATTCAATAAATGAGTGCTGAGCTCTACTAAGTTACAGTCAGTTGAATTGTAATATGAACAACAGTAGCTGTCCTCAAATTAATTAGGCTATTAAAGGGTTAAAAATCAAGGTAAAGTAAAATTAGAAAACTTATGTTTTAAATTTAAACCTGTACAAGGCTGGGGATTTAGGTCAGCAGCACCATGCCTGACTCGGAGCCACAAGGTCCTCAATTCCATCCCTCGTACCAAAAAAAACACAAACCGGAACAACAAAAACAAAAAAACAAAATTTAAATCTGTGCATTAACTATTGATGTCATTACCATATTTAGGAAAACCAAATATCAGGATTAGCGTAAAAGATGCTCAAGTTCCGTATTCAAAATTATTATTATAGTTAGCAACATAGGATTAAATTTTCTGGTGGATATATATATATATTTTTTTTTTTTTTTTTCGGTACCGGGGATCGAACTCGGGTCCTTGAGCTTGCTCTGGTGGTAATATAGATGGAAGTCATCCATGTTGAAATTTGTTTTTAAATCTGTCACTTATATGGTGACCTGAGAAGTTGAAAAATGTGAAAAATATTTATTCATGCAGTATTTCAGTTACCATTTCTTTAGTTTTCAGGTTCTCTCAGTCCTATTTAACCTTGATTTATCCTTTCAAGAGGGCATGAAGAAAAGGTGCAAATGGTAGGCTTCTGGGATCCCTCATGTTTAATGAACATAAGAAAGGCGAGTCAGTAAAGAAGCCAAGAAGGACCAAGTAAAGATGGTGAGGGTATTTCAAGCAGGAGGCACTGCCAAAGTTTAGGGAAGAGAGCTGAGAGTTTTATATATGACAGTTTTAAATGTTATGGAGTGGTTAAGCTAAGCAGCATGAGGCCAGAGAATAGACCACTGAACTTGGGAATTAAGTGGATATTGATAACCTCTGAGAAAAGAGCTTCTGTAAAATGTAGGAGCTACAGCAATTTGTATAGGTCGGGAAGGGTATGGGAGATAAGCAAGAGGTGGCTGTAAACGCAGCTGAACTTGCAAGCAGCGTGGCTGTTGATGAAAAGGAGAATGAAACTAGAAATAAGTGAAGCTGGGTCAAAAAAAGAGAATTTGACTATTTTTCCACTATATGTTTTATTGCTGTGACTATGACAAATAATCTCCCTGAGAAGGTAGTTTTCTTTTCTTCCTAACTTAAACAGATCTGGAATCGAGTGTACCTTTTTCAAAGATTTTCAACAATTTGCTATGGAATTTCTCTTTTATTTTGCTATCTTAAGTGAAAAATACTACAGAAAGAAATAACTTCATACTTAACTAGGCTTCCATTCTTGGGATGAATGGCATATGGTGAACAATGTTCATTAATTTACTCTACTTGCTTACTTGTTAACTTGCTTCTTTCTTTTTACACGAATAAAAATGTATATAATGTGAGTGTGTTTGTGTGCGTGCACTGTACTGTTTTGATTGTGACCTGGTATCAGTTTGGGCCAGCCTTTTTAGAAAGACTTGAGTCTCAATCACAAGTTTCGTAGATTCTTCAAACAAGAAAAAATATTCTATTTAGTCAGTTTTATTAGAACCAAATATAACAGTAAGTAGGTGAAAATATACCTACCTGTGTCTGACATTTTTTGGAGTGAACACTGCTTCTAATATCTTCTATGGTCATTGTCCTGCTCAGGCCTTCTATCTCATCTCTCCTTTCAAGTTTGGTCACTTACCTTAAAGAAAATGATAGTTAGGTTGTGGAAAATGAGTATATTTTAGGCTAAGGAGAAGGAACTAGTGTGGTTAGGTGGAATTTATTATGAAAATACAGAAAGGAATCATATAATTAAGGAGGAAAATTATTCTGGTGGAAAAAGTGATGGAATTATGAATATAATTGGAAGAGCCAGAGAGAAGCAGAGATATGTGTTTCTCAACTTGAGAGGAGGTAAGGATGGACAAAAATAGAAGTAAAATTAAAATTAAAAGTGGAGAAAATTTGGCAATTAAAGGTGAAGGAAAAGGAAGCAGGCATTTTTAACTTCCTTTCTGCCAGGGAGAAATACTAATATGGATATGCACTTATATATGTGAATATTTGCATATAACTACACAACTGCATATAGTTTTTATGTGAACCTAACTAATAATATATATGATTAACTGTATATTTAGTATTTATGTGAGCAAATTTTACTCTAAATATTTGACCTAGAAGAAGCCTTCTCCTGTTGACAATAATAATAATACTGATAATAGCCTTACTTATTATTATTATTGTTTTTTTTTTTGGTACCGGGTATCAAACTTGGGTCCTTGTGCTTACAAGGCAGGTGGCGGAACCACTGAGCTAAATACCCGGCCCGCACCAGCTCTTTTAGGTTTAATTATTGAGCAACTATATGCTTGCTAGACAATTGGCATTTCTTATCTTTCTAACATCCCAACAGTCATAAATGGTAGAACTATTATCACCATTGTATAGGTGAGCTTAATGAAAATGAATTTCAGATCATGTTGCTGACATATTGCTAAGCAGGCATTCAAACCTAACTTTAAAGAACTGTACCTTTGCACATACTGTAAGCATCAGTTCTTTTTTTTTTTTGGTACCAAGGATCGAACTCGGGACCTTGCGCTTGCGAGGCAGTCGTTGGAACCACTGAGCTAAATACCCGGCTCACACCAGCTCTTTTTTGATATTCACTTATCTGTCCTTTTCTTTTCACAGAAGCTTCTCTAATGCTTACTATTTCTCATATTCAGTTCTGTGAGTCTTTACTCATTAAAAGATTTTTGTTCTGAGTCTAATAGGTATTCCTTTTGTTTTTTGCTACCAGAGATCAAACTCAGGACCTTGCACTTGCAAGTCAGGCGCAGTGCCACTGAGCTAAATCCCTGGGCCGGGAATTCTTTTTGTATAGTAGTTTATTTGAATGATCAAAATAAAATGCAAACAGACCCATAGTTTTATTTCACATAAATAGCTATCCCAGTTACCTCACAAAAGGTACACACTCACCAAATGTTTGTTGATGATGCTTATGAGTAATGCATGTCATCTACTCAACAGGACCAAAGAAACCATAAACCTGTTTATATATACAAAAAAGGAAATGGTAGCATTCTGAAATCTAGTATGACCATATGACTTGTGATTCTTCTACTTGATAGAAAATAATTCAGTGTGGACCTTGGAAGATGCACATTTCAACAAACTTCAGAGACATTTGCAATGATCATAACCAGTCCTTTACTTATTCGCTTGCTTTTTCTTTTCCCTTTCACTTTTTTGCCTCTCGCCCACAGCATGTGAAAGCATTGAAAGAAAATAAGAATCTTAAACTCATAAACATACCTGCTTACCATCTGGCAGGCATCCCAGCAGTCTGGTGATCTCCTTAGTTATCCAGCAGATAGTAGAAAAACAAGAGTCCTGTGAAGATTTCACATGTTGCCATATCCCTGCCAGATGGTGATTTGTAAAACATGGACAAATTGCACTGGCTCCACTTCCCTCCGATAATCACAACAGAAACACTGCAGCAATGGTGTTTAATTTGAAAGCAACTTCAACTGAAGAACTTTTAAGGTATAAACATCTAAAGACTATTGGGATAAAATGTGTCACTTTCTTCAGAGTTGGTACTTTAAGGATCTGCTGTTCTCTGTTGTAGTATTTCTAGAATTCACCCTAAAAAGTGTCGATGGAGAGCTGTGAAATGTCAGTGGCATGGGACATTTGATTACTATCCACTGATTCTTTGCCACAACATGATTTTTTTGTCACTTAATGCTGGGCTGCAGGAGTAAAAATTATATTGCCAAATTTACGAATTGGGCACCTTACTTCACATCCACACAGGAATCTGGGGAGAAGCAGGGAATTTTACTCAAGTGTTAATAAAATAGTAAGTAGTTTTAAAATAATACTTTCCCACTGTGTCCGTTGTTCTTTGTGGTTGTCTATGCAATACTCAAATCACTGGTCAGTGTAGATGGGAAATGTCAAACAAGCGGTTTAGCGTTGGGTAAATAAGCTGCCAGTTTGTTATTCTAACTTTTTTCAACAAGGTTTGGTCTCAAAGCATACTTGTCCAAGGAAGGATATATTTTCAGCACTCTCATTGATTCCAAAGTTCACCTGGCTCCAGTGGACTAAAGCTTTGCTGATACTGAGGGAAACCAAAAGATGAAAATCAGATCTTTCCATCTGGATTAACTTGGTTTACTTAGTAGTTTTTCTCTTTCCTTAGGCATTGGGCTCCTCTTCCTCAGGACATGAATACAAATATTTTTCATATCTCCTTTATTTTTTATTTTATTTTTATTTTTTTTAGGTACCGGAGATTGAACTCAGGACCTTGCTCTTGCCAGGCAGGCATGGTGCCGCTGAGCTACATCCCTGGCCCTCTCCTTTATTTTTGATATGTGTCCCATTGAAATATAATTCACATTGAGATATAAGTATATAAAATCAATTCTGAAGCCCAACAGCTATAAGTAACCAATAATCTACTTTCTGTTTTAATGGGTTTCCCTATTTTGTATATTTCCAATGAGTGGAATCATATATTATGCCCTGTTTTATTCCTGGCTTCTTTTAATTAGCATAATGTTTTCAAGTGTCATTCATGTCGTCATGTTGTAAGAATATATCAGTGCTTGATGAGTTTATGTGTTTTTATTGCCAAAAATATTCTTTTATATGGATATACCACATTTTATTTTTTATTAGGTGAGAAACATCTGAGTTGTTTCTGGTTTTGGGTTATTATGAATAGTGTGATGTATATATATACACACACACAAAGAAAACCCCCTTGTATCTAAATATATACATTTATCTTGGACATATACCTAGGAATACAGTCTCTAGATTATGTAGTAACTCTTTTTAACTTTTTGAAGAAAAAGATCTGCTTTTATATATAATGCTTTATATTGTACAGGTGAGAAACACAGTTGGACTGTAGATGCCCTGAGTTTATATTATCCTCTGTTTTAATTCCTATTCCAAAATAGCAAATAGACATGGATTTTAGAATTTGGCAAACCAGAATTTGAAACATATTTTGCAACTTATGAATTCCACAATCTTAGCATATTACTTAATATTTCTGAAATCTCATTTTATCATCTGTAAAAAGAAGTACGATAACTCTGACTTTGCCTGGAGTTTGTGTTTGTGGAATAGGATGATATATCAGGAAGCTGCCTATGCTGTGCTGATTTGTCTTAGTTTTCTTGTTGCTGAGACAAAATGGCCGAGGCCCAAAGTTAAAACACGAAAAGTTTAGCTCACAGTTTGTAGAGGTTTCAGTTCATAGTTGGCTGTCTCCAAGGCAGGATGGCATGGCAGAGGGGCACTACAGAATAGGCAGGCAAAAAGGTAGCAAGCAGCAAGTGAACAATAAGCAGAGACCCTCTTTCTGTCCCTTATATATTATCCAGGATACCCACCCAGGGTGGGGTAGCCTTAATTCTAGCATTGCACCAAGAATCAATCTCAGGATTACATCCTTGATGCCAGCATTACACAGCCTAGATCTGGCCACCTCTGAAAAGCCCCACCTATGATCCCATGAGGCTTTGGGGGGACATCTAGACATGAGCCATAACATGATCCTATACTACCTTTCAATAAATGTTATTTTCCTTTGTTTCTATATTTTTACTCCTACGTACCTGAAGTATAAAGACTTAACACAAGGAAAGGCCTTTTGGGATAAGTCATATATATGCACATGAAGATACTTTTGGTTAATTGGTAGGCTCCTGAATTTGGAGTAAAGCATCACTTTGTTATGTTTATTCTTTCTATCATTAGAAGTTAATAATCAGAAAACATTCAAAACAATACCTACACAGTAGGTATGCCTTTTGATAGTGTTAAACATTAGACATTACTGGAATTGTCGTACAATTGTGTAAGCAACATTTTAGTGTTTGGGGTTTCATTATCCATGTAGGCGATCTCATAAATTGACTTGAAAAGGAAGTATGACTGAAGAATAATTTCTAGTTAGAAAATATTTAAAACTATTGCATTTGCATAAAGAAACAAATCATATAAGATTTACAGCCACTGGTCCCTGACTGATGCCGTTTTGTAATGTCCACTTAGAGCCATTAAGATTAGTAGGACTTTCTTAAGGAGGTGTTGTAAGTCATAAACAAAATCTTTTAAGAGATTATTAGAAATGTCCTCTAACTCAGCATAAGCTATGCTTATAGCACATAAAATGAACAACTGCTGAACAATCATCAGTATGGGGAATTTCGTTATCTTCCCCCAAGCATGGCATAGTCATATAAACTAATTTTTGTGGTCTTTTGTGTAACTTAAATTCTTTTTACTTCATTTAAACTCCATTTCCATTAAGCCCATTTTCCGGAGGCAGAAATATTTTTTTTTGTATTAAATTCTTTTATTGGTACATTGTAGGTATACAACACAATTACATTTCTCATTGGGAATTGTACCTTTACATAATGCATCTTGGTTCTTATTTTTTCCCCATTCCTAGCCCTCCCTTCACGCCCTCCACCCTTCCCTATTTACAAAGACTTTATTTCCATTTTTTCCATTTCTCATCATTTTTCCTTTCCCTTCTTTCCTTTCCCCTGCCTCTCCCACTACCCCTACCCCTTTGGACCTTTTCTTCCTATTTTACATTATCGATTATTCATTCTAATCATTGGTACATTTTAGGTATACAATATAATGACATTCATCGTTGGAAATTTGCACCTTTACATAGTCTCTCTTGGTTCTTATTTTTCACCCTTGCCCAGCCCTCCCTTCAACCCCTCCATTCCTCCCTATTTACAAAGATTTTGTTCCTATTTTTCCATTTTCTCATATTAATCCCATTCCCTTCTATCTTTTCCCCTAGCCCTCCCACTTCCTTCCCCTTTGCCCCTTTTCTTCCTATTTCACATTACCTATTATACATTTAGTCCTTATTTACACTTTCAGTTTCTCACACCAGAGAAACTATTCGGTATTTACACATGTGTGTCCTATTTATTTCGGAGGCAGAAATATTATTAAATGGTACTACTGGCTCTTAAGATAAACAGAAAAGCGAGACCCAGAGACAGAATCAGGCCAGTTTCCCTCTTCTACTCCCTGGTCTTTTAAAATTTCTGCAAAAGATTTAACCCAGGAAAAACCGTATGAGCTCTGAGACATCACCTTTCACTGAGTCTTCGGGTGGTCATCCCGATAACTCTTTAAACCTCTATGGATAAAGAAAACAAGAAAGTTTTATTTATATCTCCTAAAAGGAGGAAAATTAAGGAAAGGAAAAATGTGAGCAGGTCTAAGAGATGCAGTTCAAATATATTCTGGTTTAACTTAAATACAGAAAAATTTTAAAACTTTTTCTTTTATATTTTTATGTCAAACCAAAGAGGAATATTTGAATTCTAATAATTATCTCAATTTAAATTATTCAAAGGACACTACAATTATGATACCATAGATATTAATAAGCTTTGTAAACCTTTCTCACAGATAACTCATGTTTTCTTTTTAAAACTAAATTTGAATTTCAAGCTTAGATTACTTCACACTGTAATTTTAAATGCATAACATCTGGAAGGGAAAAAAAAATTCTCCTCTCAGCTCTTCAGAACAGATTCCATTTCAAACCTGCCAGAAAATTCAGACTTGCTGCAAGTGTAACTTTTACATCACCACTGGGTTTTTTTTTTTTTTGGTTTTTTTTTTCATTTCAATTCTCTGCTTGCTCATTCCTCCCGCCTCCCCTTTGGTTTTATTCTCTCTTTTCTTAAATGTGTCTATTACCCTCAGGGTTTGACCTTGGGCAGACTGTGAACCCAAAGTCATGTTATTTAGAGTGAAGTAACACCAGTAGTCAGGAAGGAACAATGTAGTTCAAGCCAGATAAAATAAATCTCTCATTTCCTGTCAAGGAACTGAGCCAAAAGCAATGATGAGAGACAGAGGGGGCAAACCACGCAACTCGAAACACAGACGCTTGGGATAGACACAACCCAACCGCAAGCCTCTCTTGAATAGACAACAAAACCCAAAACAGCCAGAGTGACAGGAGTCACATAATAGCTACGGAATAAACAAAAACATATGAAACAGGGCATTCACGCAGCTCCCTGGCTATAGGGAAATGCTTGACACATTTGAAATGCTTGAGGAGGAACACCTAAGGACAAGACTGAAATGTGTGAGGGATTCACCTGTACAGGAGTGAGAATTTCATAATCTTTGGAACATGCCTGTGTAGCTGCCACTTTTGACCAAGTTGTCCTTATAATGAAATCATACACACAGATTTCTACCCAATGGATGGTCTTCACATTGAAATTTGCAACCAGCAGTGGGAAAGAACCTCCTTATTCAATTCAACCAAAGTACATAGTTATTGTTAAGAATATTTACTGTTTTATTAAACAGACACCAATCGAGTGCCTGCTGCCTAAAGGTGTTAAAGTTATTTCAAATATTTGAGCCATTTAATCATTGAAACAACCCTCCGAGAGAAGTGT